TGAACCCCAAATGAAATCTTACAGGCAAGAGTAGAAGGAAGTGATAATATCCCCAGTGTTATCTCTGATTGCTTGTGTTGCCTCATTCCAGTCTCTGTTTGTAGCTATTTGTGTGTGATACAGATTTGACACAGCTTACCTCTCCCACCTTCCCTGCTCATTTTGCTGTCTGTTCTCCAGACAGACCCCTGTGGGCACAGGAGACATGGCAGTATCAGTGGCTGGACTCTGCTTTCTTTTTTTTTCCTACGGCACCAGTTCTACTTTGCAGAGTGTGCTGAACCTTTGTCCTTCTCCACAGAGTATGAACATAACAAAAGGTCCATGACAGGTCACAAATTGAGTTCATCTGGGGAAAATCCTACAATTAGCAAATTCCTTGTTCAAGGAATAGTGGATGTGTATATAGGGATGCATTAGGGAAAAAAAGGAGAAAGCAAAGGAGCATAGTTCAGGCAACTGAAGTTGTCATAGAGTTACTTAAAAGGTCTATGCTTATTTTTACAGTACAGTAGCACAGTGATAATACAGCAATTCCCCTAAATCTTCCCTTGGTTCTTCTGAACGGTACCCATGAAGGAACCCTTCAGTGCCAATAATTGCCATTTAGAGAGAAACTTATGAAAAAAATACTGATTTTTATATATGTTCAGAAAATGTATATGTTTTTAAAACATGGTGTATATAATTTAAATACACACACGTATGTGTAAAATAAACACATAGACAAAAATACATAAAATTCTCGGTTGTGGAAACCTAGACAGTATAGCTCTGATTCCACTTTTATTTGTGGCATTGCACACCAGGAGTAATATTGTGGAATTCAATGACTGTAGAACTCATGCAAGAACAAACCATGTCTTTGAAGGCAGATGAAGTAAATGGGGGTGCTGTTGGATTAAATAGTTGTCCAATGAAATCCTGTAAACTCATAAGAGAAAACACATTAAAATTGTTAAAATGCATGAGCTGAATTAAGAAATGAAGCTATATCCTAGAAAAGGCACAATAATGATGCAGAGCAAGTGACCTTTTATTCTCTCCCTCCGCTCCTAAGGTAGCTAATTCTTGTTGAGTTCAGCCAGATTTGCATGGCTGACCAAATCAGACCAAAATTAGGCCCAGGTTGTTTTTTTCACCAAGAGCCCATGTCTCAAGAGATTGCTTTTGTGTTTCCGCATAGTAACAGTCAAAGGTACATCTTGGCTGGGCACTGCCAAGACCTGGTCACTGGAATTCAAATAAGAATTTCTGGCAGACTGAATGGTCCCATTAATTGCAAGTGGTATCTCTGAGACGCTTCAATTACACAATATTAGTGGGAAACTGTAACACTGGACTAAAGGAGTAATGACACATAGGAGGTAAAGCAGAAAACCTGCTTTCTTCTTTTTAAGGAGAAGTCCAATTTACAGTTTATTTAAATATAAATTGCAAGCATAAAGTATTAGAGTTCTTAAACTTCACTCTTCAGTTAGTTTCAAATTAACCATACTGTATTTCTGCCCTCCCCAGAGCAGCACTGTGATCTGCTGTCTGTTCCTTAAATTGAACCGAAGTCTTTTAAGTCCATTAAGTTCCTTTGCAATCCCCACAGCTGACTGAGTTACATTTGCCTAACCTCATGCTGCCTCCCCTGTGGTGTGGATTTTCAGGGTCCAGCACAGACTCTGAGCCTCCTCCCCTTAACTCCAGCTATAAATTGCAATGAAGGACTGTGAAATGGCAGACTGTGAAATGGGAGGCCTTGGTCTCCCATTGTTTCTACTGCTGTAGCTTAGTTGATTTACTCTTGTCATAACTACTGTTGGGAAGTGCCTTGCTTGAATCCTTGGGTTTAGTTTACAAGCATTATTATGTTTTATAATGGAGTGTCTACCTAATGGCTACTGCCAGTCCTTTGAGGCCAGGCAAGGACTGTATGAATATATCAGTGTGCCTTGCAGTGGAGTAAACTGTGACTCTGCCCATTTTACAGATGGGTAGTGTGAAACAGAGATTGAACCACCAGCTCACAATCATGCTGCATCTGAGGCACAGCTGTCAGAAGAGGTCCTACCTCCCCAGTCTCAGCCTGATTCCCAGACCAGAAGCCTGCCTGTCTTGTTAGAAGTTATATCTGGCTCAGATATTTTAAAATATGTTTTGGTCTGCCTATTTTAGTGTGCCATAATTGCATATGCAATTCTGAATCCCAATATGTATTTCTCAGGGCTGAAGTTTGCCTGTATCTTGCCTACCTATTGGGTTTTTGTTATAGTCACAGCTCCCATGGCATATAGGCAACATACATTTTGCACAGATGGGATCTAGTTGTCTTCTCAATTAATGTAATGTAAATCAGGAGAAATTTGAAAGAATTGCACTGGTGTGAAACTGGCCTGGAATAATACCGTAAGTATCTACAAATTACCAGATGAGTTCAAATAATCTGTTGCTACTACGTGTGTTCAATGTCCATCACACTCACGTGCTTAACTTTATTTTTGCTAGAGACTGTCACACAGATTTGTGTGTGTGTGTCTGCTGCTGAATTTGGTCCAGGAAGAGAATTTTTTTTTTCTTACAGCAAAAAGAGTAACTTTAGGCAGCCTAGAATGTAGGGACCTGCATCTCAGGTAAACATTTAAGATGCCTGTGGTGCTGTAGAGAAATCAAGAAGCATTTGTGCAGTGCAACTGTTCTTATCTGTTATAAAACAGAACATTCAAATTAAGTGCTAGAAATGCTTGTTTCTCTCTATTGCCTACAAAGGGGTCAGACAACTGACTCAGATGGAGATAGCTCCAACAGGCTGGTCTAAATGGAGGTGAGCCAAATTGCCCATGATATGGTGTGCCAAGGTGCACAGACATTTTCATGATGAGTAAGAAGTGGTCCAGATATGAGGATACCCACATGTAATCAATAGGATATTCCTCTGCCCTAGCACACATGAACATGGTCTTTTTCAACCTAAATTATTCTGGGATTCCATGCAGAGGTGACACTTAGGGACATGGTATAGTGGTGGAGTTGTCAGTCATTGGTTAACAGTTGAACCTGATGATCTTATGGGTGTTTTCCAACCTATGTGATTCTATGACTACGTGAACCATAAGGTCTCAAAACAAAAATCCCCAATGCACAGGACATTGAAAGGTTCATGGCAATAGAAGTATTTTTCTTGAGAAATGTTTATATTTACCAGAGTTGAGGAGCCAAATGGTCAGAGAATGTATGCTGTTAGACAGCTCCTGGGACTTCAGAGTTGAGCTCTTTTTTTTATAGTAGTTCATTCAGTTTATCTGATGCTAGTAAATTTTTAGGATTTCAGTTAAATTGTTCTTTTATTCAAGGGAAAGAGGAAACCTTTGGAAGCTGTTGGAAATTAGGGGGATTTGCAGTATTACTTCAGTAAGAAGTGGCAGATATTAATCTGACTTTGTGTGAAAAGGTTTAAATCTGGATTCAAGCTAGTGATATTATACCATAACATAATGGGTATAGCTGTAGTTAAAACTGAATGCCCATATAGTTTGAGGCCAGAAAGAACTCTTAGACTGCCTGTGTATGAAAGCTTGCTAAATTTTACACACTGTCTATTCTCCAAACCCCCCAAAAACTTAACACAGTTAGCTCTCCTTTGCACACGGGGATCAAGGATTAGAAGTACATGGATTCACAGTAGCTAAAATTACACATAAACTTAAAGGGAAAGAGTTTTCTTAAGCAGAGCAAGTATTTTATTTAACATAGTTGAATAATAACATTTATGGTTTTTTCCAGCAGATCAGTCTAATGCTCTTGATATTGGTATCTGTTTAAAAATGTGGGACACAGTAGAAAAAAAGCCAAAGGCACACAAAGTTGAAAACAGGAAAACAGCCCAAGACTGATACTGTCCTTTGTTTTCTTGATGCTCTAGGATTTACAGCTGTACTCCCTCCCTTTCCTGCTAACTTGACCAGTGCCTCCCTTCTGAGCTTCCAAGAGACCTAGGGCTGAAATAAACATTCAGACCTCGCCCATTTCATGTGGAATGACCAGGGTTGTTGGCTGACACTCACATGTCAAACGTGGGTGGGTTTGATGCAAGTGACGTATGATTAAGGAGCATTAAGATAAAATTCTGTCTAGTTGCTATGAAAGTCAGTCTGCTCTAGGACAGAGCTGGCAGAGAGGGAGCAGTGATGCTTGCCCTGTAAGGTTCGGGAGCTTACGTGTCTGCAGGTGGTGAATTTGTGGGGAGAACTAAAGCCAGACTGATTGTCCTGTTTTCCTTACATCTAAATTGCTTACGAACTGGGCTAAGGATGCGGCATAACCTCATTAAATCTATGAAGATTTATTTTTGTCTCAAGAATAACATTTTATTATGTAGCTATTTAATGAATTGTGAACTAACATGTTTTAACAAATCTTTTAGCACCTATTACATCCACTCCCTTGATAATAATTTCAAAATCTGACCATTAAAACAGGACTCTTTTCACAACTCTTTGATGATGACACTTAGAACCGAGCACTTCATCTTTGCTTTTGAATTAAAATTGTAAAGGTAATTGTAAATTACAGATCTTTTAGGTACTTTTATTGATCAGAGTTTTTGTAGAAACTGCAGCAGTTCTGATAGCTTAGCAGTCTAGATTACCTTTCAGCTTTCTTAATTGGGCCACTAGGGTATGGTTAATTTTCAATTTATATTGAGAGTAAGACAAGGTGATGTAATACCTCATCGTTGTACTTGAGTAACACCAACACTAAAACACCATGATGTACATCATCATTCTAAATACACAAGTAGATGGAGATGAGTTCTGGCTTTATTTACTCTGTATTTTAGGATAAATTCTGCCTCATAATTCCTGTGCGTTCACTAACTTCCACTGAGACACTAGCTAAAACAAGCAAGTATGAATTGGTTGAGTGTAATTGGAAAATTTGTTCAATATACCAGTCTGGAGCAGACAACAGACTAATGAAATTTGCTCATCTATTTGTGTGTTTGCTGACAGGTCAAAGTCATGGTGCGCATTTCTTCCACACTTGCCAGAGATACATCTGAATCCAGCTCTTTCTTAAAAGTTGACCCTCGTAAGAAGCAAATCACACTCTATGACCCGTTGGCCTGCGGAGGTCAGAATGCTTTCCAGAAAAGGGGAAACCAGGTTCCACCCAAGATGTTTGCTTTTGATGCAGTTTTCCCCCAAGATGCATCACAGGTAGGCAATGTATGATCCGAATAGTTATCAAAATAGTAGTGTGCACCAGAGCCAAATTAATTTCTGCTGCAGCAGTAGTACCTTCAGGGCTGCATTTGGTATGCCATCATTATCAATAATGAAATCAGTTTATTAAATTTTAACTCGATAATTGTGTGTTTTCTTTATTCTTTACTGTAAATAATTTGTCCTAAAATTATACATGCAATAAATGTGCTAAATGGTGCCTCGTAGGAAAATCCTCAATATCAACAAGCATATTATAAAATCTTATTATTTGGTGTATACAGAGATCTGATCAGAGCTGCAGTTCTCTAATACAGTCCTCTATTTGTTAAGGGGTCAAGGGTTATTTTTAAGGTGTTCTATTGTATAGTTTACAATAAGAAGCTGGGGATTTTAATCTACAAATCTTTATTCATGTGTATATATGCAGATTTCTTCTTTTTATTAGACTTCTTTGGTTTGATGAACTATGTTACCCAAATGTCATGAGGACAGCAGAAAAGTAAAGTAGCATTGTAAAGTATAATTAGAAAACCACTCTGTAAGGCTATTTCTGTACTGATAAACTAAACAGAACTGGGACACAGGACTAGCTAAAGTACTGTCATATAACTGTCATTAGGCCAGTCCCTCACCTGATTCTGGTCCCAGCAGCTAGCACCTCCCAGACTAATGCCTGGATGCAGTTCAAGGGGCTGGCCTGTGAACAGTCCCTTACTTCTCCCATTTTATTTTATATTGTAGAAATAGTTTAGAAATGGCCATGAACTAGGTGAATTTATGTGATTTATTATCAAATGTGAAGTGCTTCCCATCAAGGCCTAAACTGTGAATTCTGATTTAGTTTCATCCACTATTGATAGGCAGTTGCTACAGAACCACTGTAAACCATTCAGCCTTCTTGAACCTTAAATCCAAGAATGCTCAGGGTAAATTTCAGTGTTGTACTTCTTAAAATACTGTTACAGTCTTCAGAATGGAATCTACTGCTGCAAAACGCTGAGAAGACTCATAGTAATGTAGTCACTCAGCTAGTACCAAAGAGGCTGTTTGTTCCCCTGATATTCTTTACCAACATGCTAGTGTAATTGAACTCATCCATAATTTGGTAAATAATAGATCCTGTAAAAATTCCTCAGTATTGGATTGATTTTTAATCAAAACTGTATTTTAAAATCCCCTAAATAGGCAGTTCTAACAGGCCAACCACATCCCCTTACAATAAGTGCATTTTTTTTAACTCCACAAAGGATGTTGATGGTTCAGCGAATGAAACTTACTTGACAGAGAACAAAAGTCCTGCTTCATGTGCTTACACAAGTAATGTCATTCCCATCGACAGCACAGGTCACACGAATGAGACAAGCAGGATTAGACTTTTTGATACTTCAGCATGCTAACGTGAGCACAGATGACATTACTACCATTTTCCAGTGAAAATAGTTATTTTCCTTATTATTGTTAATGCTTTTCTTTTCTTTTTCTTTTTTTTTTTCTTTTTCTTTTTTTCTTTTTTCTTTTTTAAATACCTATGACAGGCTGAAGTATGTGCTGGGACTGTGGCTGAGGTGATCCAGTCTGTGGTCAATGGGGCAGATGGCTGCGTGTTCTGCTTTGGTCATGCCAAGCTTGGTTGGTATTGTTAAATTTCCCTACTCAAGCAGCAAAATGAATATTTTAACCCAAGATTGCTAGTATATTATATCAGGGAAAAGAAACTTTCACTTGTCTGTGTATATTAATTGTATTGTATTTGAAAGTAGTACACTGTGCATGATCAGTACTACACCTTCACCTCTTGCTTACACATCTTTGAATATTGTATAAATATTGGACAATTGTTAATGAATGATCCAACAGTGATTTACAGTTTTACAAATGTGCTTGGTATTGGAGATGGTTTGCCAAAATACCACTTTTATCAAGCTGTGTAAAGGCTGTTAGTATTCACTTAAATACTTGATGTTTGTGATGACACTATTCAAGTGTTGTGACTGGACACACAAATAGTTTGATTTATATTCTATTCCCTAATTAAACAGTTCACTCATTACTAACCTGTTCCTGCAGTGTCTACAACAAGTCTTATTCTAATGGTTAACTGAACGTTACCAGTGGATCAAAACTAGCACTTTGCAAACACTTCAATAGAATTTCAGGTATTCATGGAAGGAAAATAAAAAGGAGAATTGTCATCATTAACACACTATTCTTTTGAAATAATTGGATTTCAAGAGTAATCATATGTTTTGCTCCTGCCTACCTAGTTGTATTTTGAAAGTACTGTCTCTTGAATGAAGAGGGTTTTATTGTCTGCATGCAATGATCTCCGTTCTTTACTGTCTCAAAGAAACAGAGTCATATACATATAACTTAAAAGGATAATTCAGTTTTTCAGGTGGTAAAGAAGATCAAGCTGTATCAGGTCACAATTATGCCAAATTATAGGCAACAAAAACTGGAGACTGCTGAATGTTGCAATGCCACCAGCTCTGGTACAATGAATGTAGGAGGTCACTACACCACAAGGTCCCTCTGAACAAGGCAGGAGCAAGAGTAGGATGAGCTCTTAGGTATTTAACCCCCTTTGACTTGCCAAACACAAGATAACAAGTGAGATGGAAAAGGAAACCACCAGATAACAGTGTTTCACAAGTTCTTTAGAGAGGTATTAGCTAGGGCTTTGCTGGAGTACGAGTTGAGTCTCTGCAGTTGCATTGTTAACTGCACCACCACCATTCCACAAACTATTGATAGACCAGACCTTGACACAGACACGTGCATTCCACATAGATTCAACGTAAGAAATGAAACAAGGTGAAGAAGCCAGGAGTACTTGCCTGAAAGGATGTACACCTTTATCATTTGGCTTATAAATTTAGGAGCTTTAGAAAACTTATCTAAAAGCGTTATATGTAGTGACACCTAAAGCAGTATAAGATCGTACTCTATGTCTGTTCTTAAATAGCTAACTTTTACAACAAAGACAAGCCAAAGCTATAGCTGCAGAGTCAAATAATACCAAATGAGGGGGTGGTTTTGACCCAGATGAAATAGTTTTTATTGTGGACCCACTTCTGCACCAAATGATCACATATACCTGTTGTGCTGGGTTTTTTTCCTTTTCTGTAGAAAGTTACATCTGTATGATTCTGGGACTAAGTTTATGTCAATCCCACCCCCAGCATATGAAATGTAATATAGTGCTTTGAAGTAAAATGGTATTGAAAGAATACTACACTTACAGTATCTAAAATAGGGATTTTTAGAGACCATGGCACTCCTGCTCTACTCAATTCTCTCCACAATTCACCCACACCTATCAGAGGCTGCAGTGTTGCAGTGTTGCAGGGTAGGGTCCTGCAGCACCTTGCCTGGAGAATGGGACAAGTCAGGGGAATGCACGAGGTAATGATTTTTGAAAGCAGCTCAAGATTTCATCTGCATTCTCCATGTACTAATTTGTCTGCCTGCCTGTCTTTTCCCTTTGCCGGCTGTGCTTGTTGTAGTGAAGTTGTTTTCAGGAGGTTGCGCAGGATAATCTCTCTTGGCAGAAGGCTGTGAAGGTTCTGGGAATAATGTTTTATTTTCTGCATCCCCCTATTCCTGACAGGGAAGTCATACACCATGATTGGGAAGGATGATTCCATGCAAAACCTTGGCATAATTCCTTGTGCCATCTCATGGCTCTTCAAGTTGATTAATGAACGGAAAGAGAAGACAGGAGCCCGCTTCTCAGTCCGAATTTCTGCAGTGGAAGTGTGGGGGAAAGAAGAAAATCTGAGAGACCTGTTGTCAGAAGTGGCTACAGGCAGCCTGCAAGATGGTCAGTCCCCAGGTGTCTACCTTTGTGAAGACCCCATTTGTGGCATGCAGGTGAATCCAAAGTTCATTTTACATTGAAACAAGCAACATGACTTTTTTTTTCTTTAGCTATTGAAGTGGTTCAAATTCAAGAACTACCCAGAGCATTAAGTTTATAGACTTGAAAGTGTTTACTTTAAAACATGCAAGAACTTTATGACCTGCAGCTGCAGGGCCATCTGCTTTCCTGGCCTAAATATTTGTACCTCTGGTATAACTGATATTGAGCAGGGGCTTGTGTTTGCAATAAAATTTGAAAACATTCAGTGCAAACAAAAATTCACCTCTTTCTTTAAAAAAAAAAAGTGTGATCTCTCTTTTGTAAAACAACAAGCTAAAATATTTACAGTACTGCACAAATAGCTGTAGGCCATTAATATGGCTGTTTATTTCTTAATAAACTATATTATTTATAGCATTTGCATTAGCAATGTTGCAGGAAACATTAATCACTACTTATTAATTGCTGCCAAGAAGTAAATTCCTGAGCTGGGCAAGTCAAGAAAAACTCGTCTCAGGTTCAGAGGTTTAGCAGGAATGAGTAACTGGCTCATGTATTTCTGGATAACCATGAGAAATTCTCAGCAGCCCTATCTTTTCACCCAACTTGCTTTGAGGGAAAAAAAGGTCTATTCTTTCATTTTGCTGTCTGTGAGGGCATAAATATGCTTTCTGTATGAGTAGATGAAGAGGGAGCAAACAAGTATGATAGAGCTTGAATATATTCTTTCAACCTGAAAGGCAAAGGCTGATTCCATCGAGAACCTGCAGAGCCCTACCTATCTAAGAATGGGGAGGGGAGGGAGGAGGGAACAGACCCACAGGGTCATCTACACTATATCCAGCTCCAAGCATCTAGAAATCATTATTCAATCTACACAAGTCATGAACTGTGAGATTTTAAAAAACAAGTAAAAAATTTTGTCTCTTATCTCTCTGTGGTTTAAGCTTTTTAGGCATACTTATTTTTCATTCTTTTCCATTCTACCTAAGGACTACAAAGTTTCATCTTGATTTTGAATAACAGTTAGGGTTCTCTTTTTCTCTTAACTCCTGACTTTAGTGTTTTATGAAATACTTACACTATCTCAAGAGATCTCACCCTCTGGTATCCACTAATGGGTGCAGTCTAGTGAATATGAGATGAGAGACTTGAGTCTTCATAGTTCCCATTGGGGTGGTAGATGGGTCAGTTAAGATCTGAATTAGCATATGTACATTACTTGTATTACATAACTGTGTGACATCTACCATCTCCTTAGAGCTTAATTCTTTACCAAGGTATTTAGCACAATAGCAATAACAATAAATATCCCATTATTGTGGCTTATTTTCATATAGATACAGCTATATACAAAATGAATTATTTTAGATCAGTGAAGAAGAAGTATCTCCATGAGACATCTATGTATCTCTGCAGTGTAAAATATTGAGTTAAATTGCAAGGGAAAGAAGCCTTTTTATGTGTTCTTAAAAGACATAGCGACATTCTGGAGTCATACGTCCTACACCTGAATTCTCAAAATCCTCGAATGAAGGGAGGTTATTATATTATAGCCATACAGATATGCAGAATCAGCAGTGTACATAGCAAATGAATGATCACTATATGTCATACTGTCTGTCACTGGACCTTTCCAAGTATGCACATTGTTGCTTACATTAGTGAGATCAGCCCACAGACTGACCTGCCTTCTGCTTGCCTTGTTAACTCCTTCCTGCCCCCCTCCCTCTTTCTTGAGAGTGCTTAGCCTTCAGCTGTGTCACCCCATCCCACACACAGCCTCAGCTTTATCCCTCCTCGGGCTGATTAATGGTCACAAAGAGAAGACAGAAGTACTGTCTTTAGGAGAATTTTACTTATAGCTATATTATATAGCAGGGGAACAAACCCCAAGAAAGGGAGTTCCTTGCTGTTTTTACACCAGACAAAACAAGCTCATCCTATGGGCTGTGGGCCAGTTTTGCGTACTGCCGAAACTAATGCTATCAGATTGCGCAGTCACGTGTCCCTTCACAGACAAACTAATCTTAGGTGACATGAAACATGCATGCATTCCTAATGTTATGGGAGGGTTAATAATATCTGCCCTCCTAAGCTGTCTGTCACTTTGGGGAGTTAAGAGCAGGCTGGTGACTGGGATTGAGGTCCAGCAAATGTGAATGCATGTACATTACCTTCCTTGTTCCATTTAATGGATTGCCCTGGCTTATTAGCAAGTGCATAAGCTTTTGGTAAGAAGGGGTAAGGAAAGGGCTTCTCTTCTGTGCTGCTCCCTGTATGCCACAAGACTAAGCACAATTTTCAGTCCTGTTATTTCCCAGATTTATCTGGGACCATATGTCTGTGGACTGCTCCCTTCTAACACATTTGAAGGGTAATGTAGCCCTGCCACTGCCACTCTCCACCAACTATTGAGTTTTGGATTGACATGTCTTCCAAAATTTTTTTTCCTACTTCCAGCCATCAGGGCTCCTGGAGGGCATGTTATTGCCACTGCCAATGTCAGTAGAGTCTCATTGCTTTGGCACTTCCTCCTTTTTGGTCCCAGCAGAAAGCAGCATATCCACAGTATGTGTTGACTGGTGTAAGTTGTCTGGTGGTGTTGACTTGTGTGGGAGTTTCTAAATGATTTCTCCCTTGTGTTAACTGCAGCTTCAGAATCAGAGTGAGCTCCGTGCCCCTACGGCAGAGAAGGCTGCCTTCTTCCTGGATGCTGCCATTGCCTCACGCCGGAGCAGCCAGCGGGACTGTGATGAGGAGGATCACCGCAACTCCCACATGCTCTTCACTCTGCACATCTACCAGTATCGCATGGAGAAGAGCGGCAAAGGCGGAAGTGAGCTGTCCTCTTGCTACTTTCTCTCTCCTCCAGGCCTCTCTGGAAACTGGCTTTATGTGGGCCTTTAAGCAATGTTCTTTAGTGGTGAAAATGAGCAGAGTTTTTCATTTAGCATTGGGTGGGGCCATTCATACCAGCAGACCATTCATGTGCCAGGTGAAGACCCACCAAAGGCCATTGAAGGCCACTGGGAATTATTGCCATCACTTGTCAGTTTAATTGCTGTTGTGGAGATACTGACAATTCTCAGCACTGTGTGGGCCTTTCCATCCGAAAAAAAGAAGGTGCTTCCCAAATTGTCTTTTATTATTATCTTTACAGATAGTGTTGAGGTAATGGATTAAAATATTGTGGTGACGAGAATTCCTTGCCCCCTTTATGTTAGCTGTTCCTCTTTAGCACCTGAATAGGGCAGTGTGTGTGGAAGTTCATGTTGACAATCCAGAAACTGGGAAGCTGATGCTGGCAATCAATAAACTATACCTTTTCTTGGAAGTACATGTTATTTTAGTTGCTGGCCAAACTATGTGTGCACAGAGGACTCTTGTTCTTTGTAAAGGCTCCAGACTTTTCAGGTAGACTTGCTCCCTCTCTTTGTTATAGATGCTTTTACTGGCTTGTGTCTTTACTTCCATCTCCCACTTGTCCATGAGGAAAAGATACTTCTGTGTCTACTTATATATTGCTATAATTTTCGAGGCTTTCATTTGGCTCACACCATTTATATTTTTTTATTATACTTGTCTTCTGTTTCAAGACTCCCAAATTGTTTATGACTACAGAGAGTGGTTTTTTTTAGTGAGTTCCAATGAGAAAAGATTTGTATAGTATGAGGCACCCCTGCTGAAAAAGAAAACTTTCATGTTAAAATTCTTTTTTCAAATAATGTTTTTTTACAGGAAAAAAGTTTGTTCAAAAGACACCAGAGACATCTGCTTCTTTAAATTTGTGGGCTTAAGCAATTCTGCAGAAACAGCATATGTGTCAACTCCTGGCTCTGCATAGGTTATCTGTAATAAGGAATAGATTGCAAGCTATGATGTGTAGTGGGTGATCACCACTACAGTATTAATATCTAATGTTTGAATGAAGAAAATTTACATTGAATGTACTTATAAGAGAGAAAACCAGAAAGCTGCTCTAAACGGAAATACAGCTTGCATGTGTTTAAGTAATAACCCCTGTGGAATTGGCAGGCAGAAATCTCAGTTAACTAAAGGTATATTAATTAACCACCCTGCAGTGGAAAGAAAGACTGTGAATACTCAAACAGATTGGTTTATAGAAATAAAATGGCTGATTTTGAGGGAATAATTATTGCAATTATTTAATACTTAATGCTTTTTACTGCATGCAAGTACATGTGCATACAGTCCTTTGCTACTATTTTCAAATGCCATTAGTAAAAGGGAAAATACTATTTTCCTGTGGCTATAATTTCAAAAAAAGAAGACATGATCCTGTTGGATTAGAATATTGTATGCTTTGCCCACTGCCTCTAGTTATATCTTTGTCTAGTGGCCATACCACCTCCTGTCTTCAAGTTCCCATATCTGAGTGGCCTTACAAGCCAGGCAGGGTCAGATCTGGCTGATAATTGAATGAGGAGGGAATTCCAGCTGCTCAGAAAGGGCGCCTAGTGATTATCACTGTCTCCTGCTGTAATGAAGGACTTCTCAGAAAAAAACCATGAAGATAGTAGAGATATAGATTCCAGTAACAGGATTTAAAAAGGATAGGAAGAAAGAAAAGAAAAGAAAAAAAACACAACCAACAAAACCCCTCAGCTTCTGAAGGATAAGAGATTAAAGGGCTGACTAACATGTGATTTTGGTAAAAAATTACTGTTAGAATAAGGCATTGGTACTGTACTTACCTCCTTGTTAGATTCATTACTAGGGATGTCGTGAAGCAGGCCTAGCACCATTGAAATAAATGACATTGAGGCAGAACTGGCACAGTCATTTTTCAGCTGTCAGCTCTGCAAAGTCTCTATGGCCAAAACCAAGTGTTACAATGTTTCACTTCTTTTCTCTATAGTTGTCAGGCACATTAGTGGAGAACTTGCCTAACAAATAACTTCATTTTCAAGCAAGTGGATCTACAATCTTAAAAATGTTACTTCAGCATGTAAATTAAATTAAAAGATCTAGTAATTTATCTTATTCTGCATTTCCTCAACCTGTGTAATAGCAATATATGTGGAAACAATATGACTGAGCTTTTGAAAGTTAGTGATTTCGTTCATTTTCTTTTGTTTCCCTGATATCTGGTAATCTTAGCAACAGAAATACTCATTTTGTATGATTCAGTAATGTCACCTGCAGTCATTTTTAGTAGCAACAAAATGCGTTTCTTTGTTTTCCTAACGAAATGATTGGGAGATACGCAAAAAAGGTAATTTCAGTCTTATGAGGGTAACAATCTTAGAGGACTCAAGGACTCTTAAGATTTTTAAGGACTCTTAAAGGGGAGACAAAAGTCCTCCATGAGAAGTTTAGAGGTGCAGATACCTGACTGGTTCACCAAGGAAGCCTAACTTTGTGTGGCAAATGCAGGAGCCTGTAGTGTGTGTGGATACTACTTCCTTGTGAGAGAATACGTAGAAGTCCAGTGTGTGAAGAAGGTGTTGCCAAACACCTGATGTAGCTGAAGAACTGACAGGACTTAAAAGCAGCAGAAGTCATTGTATTTTAACATTTATTGACAGAGATACTGGATACACTTTTGGAATGTTATTCTCAAATACCATAGTATAAATCACTTTCACAGAAAGAGTATTCCATGTTCTTTTGTCTTCTCTCTTCTTTCTTCCTTCTTTCTTTTTTTCCCTCTGCTTACTTTATTTTCATATCTTCTCTTTTTCTCTTAATTCATTTTTTCTTTTATAATAAAAATCTACTTGTAGTTTTATTGTTATTAATTTTTAACTAGCCATCAACTATAACTGAAACAGAATTATAAAATTATACATAACACATTTTAGAGAAACTCTTCCTTTTTTTTAATAGAAAGTTTTGTGTCATGCAAGACACCAGGTAAATAGGACTAAGCAATGAGCCCTGTGTCTTGCAGTGCTAGCAAAATGAAATCTCTTTTTTCAGTGCAGGTTAATATGTTTTATGTTATAGTAAATAGTTATATATAGCTTTAGTAGCTGTATGTTTTCTATATTTATATACATTTTCATAGTACACTTTCTGAATCTGAAAAATTATATGATTGTGAATCACCTTTTTATCAATATGTAGAAGTTTTACAAATGTCTTCGTCACTTTTTATGTAATCCTTCTACCTTTTACAGCACCAATGTGTCTGCCATGCAGCTACTGAATGCAGGGCCATTGAAAAAGGATGTTTGTGATTGATAAGGCATTTATAAAGCAATTAAATAGATCCATAAAATCCTTTCCTAAGGTTCCCATCATGTAGTTGCTCCCATTGCCATCTTTGCTTGTGAAAGATGTCCCTGCTCAGTGCTAATACTTCTTTTTACCAAATGTGTAACTTAAGATGCTGTGTCAAAATGCCTGTGACTTTGTTTGCATAAACTCAGATGTAAAGTATTTTCACTGCTGTTTAAGGTAGGTTTGTGACCTTGAATACTGCTCTTACCTTTTGAGTTAAGATCCTAGAAATATAACTGCCTTTTCCTACATATTGTTTCTAAACTAACTCCTGAGAATAGGGAAGAGTGCTCAAAGATGGCTTGCAAAAAACTCAGCTAGGAAATTGTCTTACGAGAGTAGAGAGCTCGAAGCACTTCTGTAAAGTCTGCTTAGTCCCCATTCTGGATTCATAAGGAACCACAGGTTTTTAAAGAGAGCAAATGTCTATTAATCTTGATGTTTCAATGGTAGCATCTTCTTACTCTAAAGGTAGTGTGTTGATACAGAATAAACAAAAAAAACCCCATAAAGATCTAGTGCCAGTCTTACAGAAACTGTTTTCAGAACAGAGGATCTACTTCACAATCACTCCAGCATGGCAAACTTTTTCTTAGCTGAAAGGATAATGTAAAAGTATGTAGACTTAAAGCAAAGTTGAACATCCCACAGATACCACAGGTTCTTCTTAAGATACAGGATTCAGGATGGGAGAAATAAAAGAAGGATCCTTGCTCACTAAGCAGCAGTTCCCAGCCTGCAGTATTCCAAACAGAGGAACAGTAGTGACAGAGACAGAAACAGAGCCAACTCAGGTACAGGCTAATAAAGCTATATTTAAAAAAATACAGTCACGTTGGTGACTCTCACAGAGTTAAACCTGGAGGAGAGGGTCAGTACTGAAAATCTTGGCAATTTTTACACAAGTCTGGAGTAGACAGCAATGTACAGCAATAAAGACTGACAGTGAGTTAACAGGACTCCTCCAGTTTGTGTCTGCTAACATGAATTAGGGAAGGTTTCTGTGTTGTTTCCTCTTCACAAGTCTTGGTGAGTTTTCTGCCTGCATGGGAAGTTGCTCTTGGAGACATACACTAACTCTTTGCTTTCTTTGTTTATGGCAGTGTCTGGAGGTCGCAGCCGTTTGCACCTTATTGACCTGGGCAGCTGCGTGAAAGTACTCAGCAAAAACCGTGAGGGAAGCTCGGGCCTCTGTCTCTCATTGCCAGCGCTGGGCAATGTCATCCTTGCCCTTGTCAATGGAAGCAAACACATCCCATACAAGTAAGTGGTGTTCTGGGTTGCACCTAATTGGAGGATGCTTGAAAGCAATTTGCCTGTCTGGGCCTGAGGCAGATTTGGGTAAGGAGGAAAACAGCCTGCTGGGGTCAATGCAGCTCTCTTGAGCTACAGCAAAACCTGCCTAAGCTTCAGTGACACCTGATCTAACCTGACATCTGTATTTAACAAACAGGTTTCATAAGAAGAAGCCTGCTGAAATCAGACTCGGGTGTCTGAAAGATCCTAAGGCTTGAAGTTCAGCACTTTAGGGTTTTGTTTTCTGGGACTGTTCAAAGATTTTTTCAATGTTTCAAAGGATGTGAGAGCATTTCATGTTTGCTCCAAGGAGAGAAGCATTGCTGCCGTGATGCAGAACTATAGAGAAAATTATTTTGCTGTTCATTGTGTGGAATTTACATTCCTGAAAATATATGTCACAATGAGTATGAATGTTGGTCATGAGATTCCTTCTGTGACCCAAGGTTACTTTGCATTTTTTTATATGGTTTGAATCTCAGTGTCAGCCTTTCACCTGCAAAAAAGAAGTAGGCCCTATTTGTCACACTAGACAAGTGGCCTTTGCTACTGCAGGCAACTTCTGGGGAATGAGAAGAATTGCTCGCCTCGTAGGTGTGCTTTGTACTCATTTCTCTTCATCGTTGCTTCACCCCATTTGTCATGTGTGCAGGTCTGAGAGGAAGCTTGGATTCATTACCCAAGCCAGGTACTCACACGGCTTTCCTATTGAGAGTTTCTGATTTTGTGGACAGTATTGCTTTTCTCTAGCCTAGAGCTCAAGGAATAGCAACTAGCATCGTGGGAATGGCTTACAGTAGCAACTTGTAATCAAACTGCCAATGAATGTCACCATTCATGAAGGACATGTATATGATATCGGGAGTTAGGAATGACAGGATGACATGGAAAACGAAACAAGTAATTCACAGAGCAATATTTCAGTCCACAGATTTTACCCTTTTTATAATTTTAAAGGCTACAAATGTGGTTATTTTCTCATGTTCATTTAAGATTGCTTCTCTGGTTTTGTCTTCATTTTGGAAAATTAAAATGCATTGAGGTTGGTTATAATTTTATTTCTCTTCTAACATTTATTTTCAAAAATTATTTAGAAGTCTGGACTTAAAACGTGCTTTCTGGAAATATTCCCATTCCTAGAGCTCAGTAAGACTGAAATTCAGTTGAGGGCCAATGAAATTTCTTTGTATAAACATTCATTAAATGTTTTGTGAATCATGCACCTAGTCATAGTGTAAAAATAGCTTGAATTTTGCACTTCACAAAGTGTAACTCAAACTATACTTATCAAAAATCTGTTTTCCTTCATGTTGAACTTTAAGGATGGAAGGGAAGGTCAACTATAGGAATAGAAAAAAGGATGTTAATGATGCTCCCTAGGCTAGAACTAAACATACAAGGAGTAGTTACCAAATACAATTGTCTTTCTGGGAATGATTGACTAGGAGAAAAGCATTACCAAACATTTCTTCTACTTGCTACATGTCCAATCTCTCACACAGTCAGAGGTGCCAGCACAGTTTCTCATCCATGTCTGTACTGCTGAAGCTCTCTTCATGCCACAATCTCCTCTTGAATTCACTCCTTTAAAACAGGTATTATAGAGTATAGAGAAGTGGTCAGTCATCTGCAAATCAGAGGCAATGTCTTGTTTCTATGGAGGACTTTTAAAATGTAATCTGAAAAAAAAATACTGGCCTATTTGGATCAAATTTTGTCTTCTTGTTGAGTAGAATCCAGAAAGCACTTTTCCCCATATGCTATCTATTCATGAGCCATGGAAATAGAAGTTTTGGTGGCTGGGTGAGCATAAACACTTTTTGCTCAGTAATCTGGCAGAACAGGTGTGTGCTGCTCCTTGGTGGCAAGGAGAGGAAGGGGGATGTGGGTGTGTGTGCTGCATTGTAGAAGAGTAGAAGAGTCTGAGTATCCCGTAGACAGACATGACGTGTTCAGTGGCATCTCTTGTTTAGAGCAATGACTAACCTATCTAGCTGAGATAATTTCTCTTTCTCTAGGGGTGTTTGCTTTCATTGTTAAGGATAAAATAAAATTTTTGTTCACTGCCTTTGTTGAGTGGGACCAAATGAAAACAATGGAAGTGTTTTCTTATGTGACAGTTCTGCACAATGTGTGTGGTCTCAGCAAATTTCCATAGACCAGTAGACAAAATGCATCTTTTCTTTATCTGAGCTAATTAACAGCCATCAAGTGTTTTATGGCAGCCTCTCAGTAGGCACTGCATTGCTTCCTGAGAGCCCAGAAACTCACAATTCATAGATTTTCTCTTACTGCAGAAATTTGGTTCTCTAAACCCTAAGAGGCTGCAGGCTCTTAAACTCCCTTCAGTGCTGTATCCAGCTCTATCTCCGCAGGTAGTAGTTGTAGTTGTAGGGAAAAGCTTGTTCAGATTCATAGCTGGTATAAGCAGATGCTACTGCATTGCCTTCAGTGGTCCGTGTGTTTGTGCCAGGGATGAATTTGCCTCTCTGCCTGCAGTCTCTATGCATGCTGTTGTTCAGCATGTTGCTTTTCTTTTATTGTTACCCATAAAGCTAAGCCTTGGAAGCCATTAAGTTGGAATCTTTCTCTCTTGGGAACACCCCTGCACCACCACCCCATTTTTGGGAATAGTAACACATACTGACACTAGCTTTAGCAGGAACTTGTCTACTGAAGTTGTAAGAAAGTAATACAGAAATTCTCAGACATCAAACGATATAGTTTGATGTGGTTTGGGATCTTGTCCTGCATTCATGTTAAATTCCACATGGGTCTGAAGAATGTGCAAGAATCCCTATAATGGGCAAATACTTACAGCTAAGGAACAAGGACCAGACCATGATTTCTGGGAGTTTGTATCTTCCATATATGTACTTATAATCTCTTTCTAATGTCTCAGTGGGTTATCTCTTTGCCAATATTATGTCCAGTCCTATTTTGAACCTTAGTAAGCACATAATTCTGTCATGGTGTGAACCAATACGTTCTTCCAGCTCAGCATGTTATTTAAAAATAGAATTTTTAATTTGACTTAAATACATTGCCATTTTATGTCACCAGTTTCTTTTGCTCTTGAGTTATGAACAAATCCTTCAAAAGACTGGGCAAGAATTATTTTCCCCATAGGAATGTCAAATATCTTCATAAAAATTGGAAAGGGGCAATTGCAAGACCAAGGAGGAGCAAGGGAGTAAACTCCTGCCCTGACCAAGTATGATAGGGTTTAGATCTGCTACAGAAGGGTTTTGCTGAGCTACAGTATTTGTTAGTGCCATTTTATGTTTTTAAGAGAATTTGAGTTTTGCATTAGCGCTGCATTATCTGCCTCTGATTTCCAAGATGAATGTGTTTTAAACCCTCAAATGAACATCCATTTGCACAAATTCCAGATACTGTTTTCTATAGCTCACAATTCAAAAATTACTCGAGTTGCTAGGCAACATGGGTGGTGATAATTCATGGTAATGCTGTTTTGAAAATAGTCATTTTTATACATTTTAATGACTGTGAGAATGTAAGAAAACTCTATGGGAAAGCGAAAGGCTGTATGAATTTCTCTTTCAGAAATTGTTGCTTGTTTTATTTAATAGGCTTCTCTCTTACTGTGCTCTCCCAATGTGCTAGTGTTTCCAGAGGCATCCTATGTTTTGAACTACGTGCTTATCCAAGGAGGAAGTCTTGTCTGTAACATAAATGGGTGTGAGTTAAAAGCATGAATTTTATACTTGGCACTTCTGCTTCTCTGTCATACGATTCCAGTTCCTCCCAGATCTTACATACTGGTATTGTTTTTTTCAATCCTATCTGCATAAAATAAAATGATATTAAGTGAGTGATGCAAGGTTGCACAGGAGGCTTCAGGGCAGAGCCACCATATTTTAAGATCTAATATGGTGCTTAAACCATAGGCTAATCCATTTTTTCTTTCTGCATGACCTTTGGAAAATAATTTAGTTATGTATTTACTTATTTATTCCCATTTATAAAACTGAATTAGAAAACATTCAAGTAGGACTTTCTAAAGGGCATTCAGAGTTGGCAAAAAGCATTATGTAACTTTGAACTGTTGCTAGGACTGTGTTACCTTATTTTCCCCCCTTTTTTTAGAGTTAATGACTTGCATAAATGGCCCTAATGGGATACAAAATCTGGTGGTTTTTTGGTCAAGGGTAGAATATTATTGCTTTTAAGTAAAGAGAAAAGGAAAAATGTTGGATTATAGCAATGTGGTATACTAGCCTAAAGAATGAGCTGTATGTCAGATATTTTCTTTAAATTGTTAGTTAATTATTGGAATAAAAATGAAAATGAGAATTGGAAGGATCCAGTAATTCAGATTCTTAGTTAAATGGATGTATCTGCAGTTGTTTCATCTTTGTAAAAAGCTGTGTGTGAAAGTTGGGATCCTAGGCATCTTTTGCTTATGTGTCTTACCTTTTCATTTGAAGCATGAGTTATATTATTTTTCCCAAAAGAAATATTAGTGGAAACTTTTCAGGAAGAGATAAGAAAAGCTAAAACCCAGCTGACAATTCAGTTCCTGTACAATAACTAGTACTAGTATTGGAGATTTTATCCTTATTTATGAGCTTGTAGTAAGTCCTAGTTTTGTGGAATTCACACAACAATGTCTACTTACTAGGCCTAAGAATTTAACGGCACACTTGAACTATATGGCCAGTGAGCAATCTATTTAATGGTTACTTCAGCACATAAACCTAAAATAATATTTGTCATTTTTCACTGAGAAATTTAAAACACGCTTATTTTCCACTGTTACACCTATGTCTTTTGCTCCTCTTCAATGAGAACGTGATACCAAGACCACAGAAAGTCTAAGAAAAAAATCTGGTGTGCCCTTTGGAATCTCCAATATTTCTGTGTTAATTTAGTATTGAATATATTAGAAGTAGATGAAGAACTGTTTTCCTGTTTTCCTTGTGGGAATGTGAGAGCAAAAGAAG